AGGGGACCCCAAAAAGTTTAATCGGAGGTGACCAATCAAGTCCTCTTGATTTGTATTACCAACAAAACGTAAGAAACAAAGCAGAAACCAAAAACGTTCTCTAAAGAAAATTCTCTCAAGTCTCCTAGACGAGTTTGCTTACGGATCTAAAGCCCTTTGAGCGGAACTCCCGCGGCCTGCCCCTAGGAAGGACAGCTGTCTGCTGCTGCACGGATGTGACGTGAACACTTCCCGTCTTCTCCAGCACCTGTGGCCGTGGACCAGGGGAAGGGGGTGCTGCACAAAGGTAAATACTCAAATCTTTCAGGGAACCTTGGATGAAAACTTTGAGCTAATACCAATTTCTTGAGTCCGAGAGTTCTACTGTAGGTCCACCAATCACGTGAAAAGTCGTGTTTGGACCTTCTTCCATGTCACTGGAGGTCTAGTGGGATCCCAAAGCGGTCTTCTATCTCCAGTTTCTGAATGATACTTTGAAAAGATCCCCACTTGGCTCCCTGACCCATGGAGGCCAATAGAAGCCTGTTGAGCACCTGTTCCAGAATAGAAAACTCAACAGCGGCACCCCATCTTCGAGGAGGCTGCAGAGACCGGTGCCCCCACCGGAGACCCTGCAGAGTGACGACTCCTATCAAAGCACCACGAGCTTCCCCTGGTTGGCTGGTGCAACACTGGATGGGTCTTGGAAAACGACAGGGGGTGTATTTTAAGCAAGTGGCGATTCCCATTTTAACTGCTGCATTAGATATGTGCTCCTTATGAAGCCTTGGAGCGAAGAGGCATCTCCTGGTCTAATTATCCCAAGAAACAGAAACCACTTTTGCTGGAAAGGACGCGTTTTCCTTTCCTGTTCACGCAGGGACGCCACAGTTCTCCCCCAGCTCTGGATCAGAAAGGCTTTGATTCCCTGCTTCCCCTATACGACCTCAGACTGATCCACTGCATTGATTAAATCACACTGATAGGGCCTAGAGAGCAGAGATTGTTTCCTTAGGTCAGAAACATTTATACAACTCTGTATAGGAAGGAGGTGTGCTGGGCAGCCAAGAGTTGGATTGCAGTAGAAATCTAGTATTTTTGCCTGTTAACACCTCTCTCCTTTGTTTTGGTGACATCACATGGCCTTCTCTTTGGGTAACTACCTTTCTTCCACCCCATGCTCTGTCATAGATGTTAACCCAGGTACCCTGCCCTCCATCCCCACCAAGGGAGAGGATATGATGCAAGCCAGGCAAAGCAACCTGCCTCCCAGGCTTGGGACTGTGAGCAGAATGATCCAGAGAAGGAAGGTACTAGAGGAGGCAGTGTCCTAAACAAAGTCCCTAGGTCCTGTACTGCCATCCCTAGTGCTCCCCTCATTCCTGTATTTCCCGAGGCCTGGTCCGTCAGCTGTTCCTTTGATTGGGTGAGCACCAATATGCTTCTGTCGTGGGCTGACGGGTGGTCCCGAAGATACGTCCACATCCTCATCTCTGGAACACGTGTATGTTACCGTATTTGGGAAAAGGGTCTGTTGGCAGGTATGACTGAGTTAAGTATCTCGAGATGAGGTCATCATGGATTATCCGAGTGGGCCCTAAATACCATCACAGGTGTCCCCGTGAGAGTGGGGCACTGGGAGAGTTGACACACAGGGTAAGATGCTGCGATGCTGGGGCCGTGTTTGGAATGATGCCGCCACAAGCCAAGCCACGCCGGTGGCCACCGGGGGCTGGAAGAGGCCAGGAGAGAATTCTCCCCTGGAGCCTCCGGAAGAGTGTGGCCCTGCTGACCCCTTGCCTTTGAGTTCTGGCCTTCAGAACCGCGAGAGGAGGGTTCTGTTGTTTTAAGCCATCGGATTTGTGGAAATTGGTTATGGCAGCCACAGGAAACTAATACACCTTCCAACAAATTCATTGTTTTCCTTAAGGTTTCTGTTGCTTGTAGCCAAAAAACCCTAGTTGTAACCGTGGTCCATCACTGCGATGATTGAGGCTAATGAATCACCCTTTCTGACTAAGTTAGTTCCAGCCGGGTTCCTGTCACTCGCAACCTGCGCCAGAGGTAATGCTGGAACCAGAGGAGGGGTCCTGAGCCCCTCCCCGCGTCAGCCCACCCTCCCCGCCACGCAGAAAACATGCCAGGCAGCAGCTCCACACAGGCAGAAACAGGTCCCTGGGTCCAGCTTCTTTATTTGCATAATGATTTTCACTGATACATGGGAGTGGGAGGGGGTTGTTGCTTTTTTGCCAGGACCACACACAACCTCGTGATAGACTCAGGCCAGGCGATTCTCTCCTGAGCTTTCCCCCACCAGCTTTAGGGACTTGTCTGTGGGGTCAGAAGGTCTGGAAGCTAATTGGCTCCTTGGGACATTCAGCGAGACCATGGGGGTGGTGCATGCAGCCCTCCTTGTCTCTGTGCCCCGACCTGGGCAGAGCTGGGCCTAGATGTCACAAGGGGAGTGTGCAGATGGCCCGTGTGTGTGTGTGTGTGTGTGTGTGTGTGTGTGTGTGTGTGTGGTCACTTCGTGAGTAGCCCCTTGGCTTAGCTCCAGTCTCAGCTCCAGTCTGTAGACCGGAACCATCTACGTCTGGAGGCCTGTGTGCCAGGCCCTGTGTGTGACACAGGCCTTCACACCTGCTGTCCCCTCTGCCTGGATACACTGCTTTCCTGGAGCCCCCACTGGCAATCACTGTGGATCCATACGATGGCAGGTAAACCATCACCTCGGTCAGTGGTCCCTGCTCTATTATATATCCTTATAGTTCTTGTATTTAGTAGAGTTCATTATTATATATTTTTGTGATTATTGGATTAAAATCTGTCTCCCCACTAGTCTGGAAGCTTCAAGACACAGGGTTATATATTTTGCTTGGCACTCTATCTGTTGAATCTGGTAAAATGTCAATAAATCACCGGCCAGGTGGGTAAAGTAAATCTAAGCGGTGGGGCTAACACAGGAGCGACTGTGTGTGGGTGGCGAGGGGCACTTTGGGGAGCCGGAGGGCATGCCTCACCCAACGGCATTCCCGTTTCTCAAATACACTAAAGATACTGTTCCGCTAAATAAGATCTGTCTGCCGGCCACATGTGAAGCCCCAGCTTATGACTTTTCCAGTGGATATTTGTTGAATGAGCGAGTCAAGCATCTACAAGGCAATCATTGTAAAAGCCTCGGAGAAGCAAGGAGGAAGGGGGGGCAGAACTGAAAGGACCTCCTTTTCGGTCCTGTCTACACCCTGTCAAGGGCAAGGTCTCCCTCTTGCTCTCTCTTCTTTTTTTTTGTTTTGTTTTTTATCCTCACCTGAGGACTTTTTTCCATTTTTTTGTTCAGACAGAGTGGGAGGGAGAGAGAGAGAGAGAGGAACATTGACGTGAAAGGGACACATCGAGTGGCTGTCACCCGCACGACCAACCAGGGCCGGGGACAAACTGCAACCGAGGTACGCGCCCTTAGCGGGAACCGAACCCGGGTCTCTCTGGACCGAAGGCCGACTCTCTAACCGCTGAGCCAAACCGGCCAGGGCTTGCTCTCTCTTCTTCCTCCCCAGTGCCCGGCACCCAGTAGCTATACAAATCAGTGGATCCGGTCAGCATTTACTAAGTACCGTCTCTGCACCAAGTCCAGTTCCACCAGACAGTGGCCTCCATCCTGAAGCTCAGTGTGGGGGACAGACAGGGCCACAGTCAGGCACTGGCAATGTGAATGATGTTCTAGCAACAGTGTGTGAAAGGGCTTGGGGGCCCTCGCCTCCCAGCTTGTTGAGCAAGCAGAGAGGGGATTCAGTAGGTGAGTATAGAGATAATGCCCCCAGCGGGGGTGAGGGGGCTAGAGCTGGCCCAAAGGGACAGGAGCCGCAAGCGTTTGCCTGGATGGGAACTGAAGGTGTGGGTGGAGGTCCGCAGGGTGGGCAGACGGGAACTGTCGTGGTCAGACTAGGGGGATCCAGGGTGGAGGGACAGATGTCCATGCATGGCAGCTCCTGGCAACCAACATTTCTGAGCCAAGCTTGCTTGAAATCGGGGCCTCCCCTGTCCCACTGGGCTTTCATCTCTGGGCCCAGATTGTCACCGTGTCACAGATGGGCTGAAACCTGGAGATGGGGCAGGATTTGTCTTCACATATCAGGTTCTAGTACAGGGGGTCCAGACTTCAGGCCTCAGGCCAGGGCCCCTTTTCTGTACCTCAAGCCAGCCCTGGGAGGAAGCTACGGGTATCAGGAGCCAGCTCCCTCTTCCCCCAGACCTCATCTTAGGGAGCTGACTCCTTTTGGAAGCTCCTGGAAAAGAACCACAGCTGAGGTCCAGAGCTCCTACATCTGAATCCCCTGGCCGGTCCTGTCCCTCACTCTGACAGAGGGCTCCCCCTCTACGGATCAACTCCGAAGGTCCATGAACCCACTAGAACCCCGTGCAAGCTTCGTGAGGGCAGAAGACCGTGGAAGGAACATTGTTTTGGCAGACCAACAGGCATGGATTCCACACTTGACCCTACCACTTCTAGTCGCGTGCCATTTGAGCACATCACTGCACCTCCTGGAGCCTCAGTGTCCTCATTTGTGAAATGGGGATAATTCTCATCCTCCAACATTAGGCCAAATATGATCTGGCTAATAGATAGCAGGTGTTCAGGAATTGTTAGCATCCTTCCGACTATCATTCTCCAACTCATACTGGTTCCCAGATAGCTTGGCAAATTGTTTATAGAGGTCTCTGGACCTGGCCGGTTTGGCTCAGTGGTTGGAGCATCAGCCCGCAGACCAGAGGGACCTGGGTTCGGTTCCCACTAAGGGCACGTACCTCCGTTGCAGTCCCCCACCCCCAGTTGGGGTCATGTGGGTGGTAACCAGTCGATGTGTCTCTCTCACATCGATGTTTCTCTCTCTCTCTCTTCCTCCCTCTCAGCCTCTCGCTCTATTTGAAGATAAATGTAAAAATATCCTCAGGTGAGGATAAAAAAAAAAAAAAGCACATTAAAATAAACAAATAAATAAATAGTCTCTGGGTCGCCCTTCAGGCTCACAGAGTCTAGGGTAACACTATCCTGCCCTGAGCCTTTAAAGGAAGGGACCCAGCCTCTGGGTGTCATTCTTCAGGCGAGGGTGAGTGATCGGAGCGGTCATGCTACCACAAAGAACTTCAGCAGGGGACAAATCTCTGCTTTGTTGTAGCTGACTTAGGGGGTAGGGAGGGGGACATGGTGCCCTGGTTTAATAAATCTGAGATTTTGGAGGCCCACTGGGGGCCTCCAGGTCTGCAGACCTTCCCTCCTGGGAGGTCTCGCGGGATGTCTCCAGAGACCCCTCCGACACTCCATCAATGCTGCTCAGCAAGTCTTCAAACTCCTGGTGGCCGCTGTTGCGCACGGCGGCTTCCAGAGCCTTCTGGCGCCGGTAGAAGTGAGAGAACTTATTGAAGATGATGGTGATGGGGAGCGCTACCACCAGGATGCCCCCTAGGATGCAGCCCGAGGCCGCCAGCTTGCCAGCCACCGTCACCGGCACCACGTCCCCGTAGCCCACGGTGGTCATGCTCACTGTGCCCCACCACCAGCAGGCTGGGATGGTGTCAAAGCCCACGTCCTCCTCCTTCTCAGCTGTGTAGGCCACGCCGGAGAACACGGACACCCCCACGGCCAGATACAGCAGTAAGATGCCCACCTCACGGTAGCTGTGCTGGAAGAGAAGGAGGAAGCCGAGTCAGTGCTGGCTGGGCTTACAGACTTGGCATTGGGCATATGGGGAAACTGAGGCCCGGAGACTAAAAAGGACAGGTCTGAAGTCACAGAGCAAGGCAGAGCTGGTGCCAAAACCCTGGTCCCCTGACTCCAAACTAAGGTCTTTCAACTACAATAAGCAGCAAAACTCCCTGGGACTGAGCACAGGCCTGATTTCCATCGTCCAGGGTGCCTGCTGGGCCACATTCCTTTCTTCTGGATGCACTCAGGGCACCGGCTGGTTAATGAAAAGCTTGTGATTTTTACACTGTTGCAGAATCAGAGAGAGCCATAGTTCACATTCCACAGTTCAAAGGGTTGGTTTCGTGTACTTTTGGCCGGTTGGTCTCATTTCTACTAAGTACAAAAATATTTTCTGCCTCTCATGGAAGCTGAGAGGATATATACGTTCCTTGGACCACTCACCGAATGCACTTGCCTACGGGTTCATATATTTCTCTGCCCCTGAAGCCAAGCCCTAGGGCAGTGGTTCTCAAACAGGGCAGTTCTGCCCCCACCCCTAGCAGGGGATATTTGGCAATATCTGGAGACATTTTTGATTGTCACAACTGGGACAGGTGTGCTATCAGCATCTAGTGGGTAGAGGCCAAGAACGCTGCTAAATACCCTTCAGTGCACAGGACAGCCCACACAACAAAGAAGTATCTGGCCCTAAATGTTAATAGAGGCTGAGAACTCCTAGTCTCAGCAGTGCCTCCCAAACTGTAATGTACAGAGGAATTGCATAGAGATCTTGTTTAAAAGTAGAAGCCAATTGCCCCGGTCAGTTTGGCTCAGCAGTTAGAGCATCGGCCCGCGGACCAGAGAGACCCGGGTTCAGTTCCCGCTAAGGGCACATACCTCGGCTGCAGTCCGCTCCCACTCCCCCCAGATGGGATCATGTGAGTGGCAACCAGTCGATGTGTCTCTCTCACATCGATGTTTCTCTCCTCTCTCTTCCTCCCTCCCTCCTGTTCTATCTGAAGATAAATGCAAAAATGTCCTCAGGAGAGGATAAAAAAAGTAGAAGCCAATTGAGGGGTCTGGCGTAGGGCCAAGGATTCTGCAATTCCAGCACACTTCCGGTAATGAGAGAGCTGCTGGTGGCCAGGGGCCTCGCTTTGAGTAGCAAGGCTCTCGTCTGGAGTCTTACAGCTGTGTCTTGGACCCTGGAAGCCTCCATCAATACTCTTCTCCCTCCTCGCAGAAAGAGCTGGTGGCATCAGGCCCTGGCTCCCTGCGTGCTGGAAGCAAGGCAGAGCTCTGGGACGGAGGGATCATCCCTGGAGGGGTGCTGAGTTCAGGGTGTCTGGCTCGTGGAATTCTCTGTACCTGTCCATCGCCCTCACTCTGCCCAGGTCACCCTGCTGCAACAGCATCCTGGCTGCCCTGCCATGAGAGCATGCCAAAGGCTTTACTAAGCCATGGTGGCAGGGATCTATGGGCACCTTCTAGGGACCCTTAGCAGGGTTACACAGGGCTTTAGAAGAAAGAACGTGAGTGCTGGAGTCAGGCACAGCTGGACTTTTCTCTAGGCTCTGCCTCTCAAGTCCTGTCACCTCTTGGAGCCTCGGCTTCCACATCTGCAAAGTAGTGACAATAATACTTGCCCCTGCGTAAACCCCATTTCCCTTCGGATAAAGTCCAATATCCTGAGCCAAGAGTTCATGGCCCTTCAATACCCTCTTCAACCCCATCACCTGGCACCCCCTCCCTCCAGGTCCCACTCCCATCATTCATTCTGGTCTCTCTTCAGGCCTCCGTCTAAGCTGTTCACATGTCCTCCCTCCCCAAACCAGGCTAATTTCACCTACTCAAGGGTAAGCTTCCCAGGGCAGTGATTCACCCCCAGTGCAGGTCTAGGCTCAAGGAGGATGCTCAGTAAATTGCAACCAGGCTTTAAAAAGCCAACCTCCAACCTCAGGTTCTTCATCTACAGGAAGGGAATAAATAACAGCATCTTCCTGAGGAAGCTGTCCTGAGGATGAAATCAATAATGGATGTGAAAATGGCACAGAATTAGCACTAGGTAAGTATAAGCTTGGGGGCTATACTAGACTTGGTATATTAAGCGTGACCCATAGTATCGGTGCCCCCTGATAACCTCAGAAGACAGGCTCAGTGGAGAAGCCAGTTAGCATCCTGCTTTGCATATTTTTGTCCTATGCGTTATTTGGTATGTGACAGATCAAAAGTGACCTTTGTCGTTTTTTTTATTTTTATTTTTGAAAAGGAAGACCAATAAAGCCCTGCCTCAGTTTTCTCCCCTGAGACAGAGAGAGAGCCAGAAGCTTCTCCTTACAGGGCTACTGGGAAGGTCAAACTGGATGTGAACTGTACACCTGCTATCTGGCCTTTGCCTGGTACAAAAGGTGTCGTTTCAGTCACTGTGCACCTGGACACAGCAGGCTTGCAAGTTCACCTGCTAAACTGGCCCATGGTTACACCGGCCGCCCCCGGACCCCCAGCCCGGCCTCAGGGCCCTACCTTGAGCGTGGCGCCCAGGGAGCGCAGCCCGGTGGAGTGGCGCGCCAACTTGAGCACGCGGAAGATGCGCATGAGGCGGAACACCTGCACCACCTTCCCCAGGTCGCCGAGGTCCTCGCCGCCCGCGCCCCTCTGGCCGCCGAGCGCCGCGCCCGCCACCAGCGTGAGATAGAAAGGCAGCACGGACACGATGTCGATGAGGTTGAGTGGGTGGCAGAAGAAGTTCCGCGGGCTGGGCGCCAGCAGGAGGCGCGACGACACCTCGAAGCTGAACCAGGCGATGCAGAAGTACTCGAGGCGCCTCAGCACCGGGTCGTCGCGCACCTGCTCTGCGCTGTGGCCCGCGGCCACCGCAGCCAAGGCGGCCGCCGCTTCGCGCGCCTGGTACTCGGGCAGGCTGTGGATGCACATGGCGGCGATGGAGGCGAGCACCACGCCGATGGAGACGCAGCTGAAGAGCTTGCTGGGCAGCGAGTACCCCGGATTCTCCATGGTGAGCCAGAGCCGGCGGCGCAGGCGGCCGCAACGCGCCGCGCCATAGCGCGCCAGCTCGCGCTGCACGTCGGAGATCTCGCCCGGGCTCGGGTCCACGCTGCTCGGCGTGTCGCTGTCCTCGTCCCAGGCGCGCGGCCGCGCCACGCGCCGCTCCAGGTAGCGCGCGCGGCAGCACGTGGCCAGCGCGCTCTCGCCCAAGCCCCAGTAGTCGGCCTCCTGGCCGAAGGCGAAGACGCAGAGCTCGTCGAGCACGTGCAGGTGGCCCGTGCGGTAGAAGTGCAGCAGCCCCAGGAAGAAGCCCGGGTGCCTGTCGAAGTAGAACTCCCGCGCCGCCGCGTCGTAGTCGTCGCACAGGCGCCGCGCCTGCTCCTCCGACGCCGCGGCCTGCAGGCGACCCAGCCGCGTGCCCGGGAAGCGCGCCAGGGCTGTGGCGCTCAGCAGCCGCCGCACGCCGCCCACGTTCACGCGCAGAGCCTCGTCGCTTCGCCGCCAGGGGACCCTGGCGCCGGGCCCCGGGGACTCGCTCACCATGTTTGCAGCGCTCTGCTCTGCGGACAGGGGGGCAGCGCGCTGAGAGAGCGTCTCCGGACCTTCCTTCCAGGAAGATCGTCAAATCCCCTGCCCCCTTCACCAGCCAGGGGTGTTGGGTGCTCGGTGTGAAGCCTCTGGTGTGCAGTTCGCGCTCAGTTGGTGTCAAGTACCCTCTGGACTGAAGACTCAGGCGTAGGACTGGAGGACTTGGGTCAAAGCACTGAGCATCCCCACCCTAGTTTCATCGGCATAAACAAACGCTGAGCTCTACCTTGGAGGATTATGGGAGCAGTTGAATGGCAGGATGTCCTGGCATCTGCGGGAGGCGGCGGGGGGTGCTCATATAGGATGTCTCCCTTTCCCAGACAGAAATGGGGTTTTGAATCCCAGAGGTCTACTGTGGGGTCTTGGACACGCCAGCACTCTGAACCTCAGTTTCCTCTTTAGAAAAATAGGGATAGTGCTTACCATCTAGGGTTGTGGGGAGAATAAGGATAGACCAGTAGTTCTCAAAGTGTGTTCCCTGGACTAGCAGAGTCAGCATCACCTGGAAATTTGTCAAAATGCAATTTCTCAGCCTGCTCTAGACTTGCTGAATCAGAAACAGGATGGGTTTCAGCAATCTGTGTATTAACAAGCTCTTAGGGTGATTCTGACGTGTAGTCAAGTTCGACAGCCATTGGCTTAAACTATTCAAAGTATCTGTAGAATCTGTCAGATTGAACCTTGGCTCTCTTGTGTGACTGTAGTAGACAAGTCATGTCACCTCTCTGAGTGTCTCTCAAGTGGAGATAAAAACATCCACCTCCAACTGAGGTTAAAAAGGTTAGATGGCCCTGGCCGGTTTGGCTCAATGGTTGGAGTGCTGGCCTGCGGTCCAGAGAGACCCGGGTTCAGTTCCCGCTAAGGGCACGCACCTCAGTTGCGGTTTGTCCCCAGCCCGGGTTGGGTTGTGCAGGTGGCAATCACTCAAAGTGTCCCTTTCACGTCGATGTTTCTCGCTCTCTCCCTCCCTCCCACTCTGAACAAAATATGGAAAAATGTCCTCGGGTGAGGATAAAATAAAATAAAATAAAATGTTAGATGAACTAATGTCTTTATCAGACCTAGCTCCCAGAAAAAGGTTTAATAAATTATCCACCTCATTCATTGTCTCCTGGAGTCAGGCAAACTTTTGCTTATTGCCACCCTAGATGCACCTACTGCCTTGAAGAAGATGCTTTTTCTCAAGTCAGTTTCTTTTGAAATGCAGACCTGCCCCCGAGGAAGGCTGGAGGATTAAGGTAAGTTATGGAAATGCTCAGCCTTTGTAGACACTCAGTGTTAGACTGACCACTGCCCCTGAGTGCTTCTGGAATTGAGGGCCAGTGACTCACCTCCTGACCTCAGTAATGTCATCTGCACTGTGGGTTCAGTAATGCCTGCTTCCCGGGGTGGACAGGGATTGAGTGTGCATCAAGCAGCTGGCCCAGTGCCTGGCAAGGAGTGGGTGGGTCCTTCACTTGCCCTGGGCTTATGTTAAGCGAGTCAGGGTTTTGTCTTTAGTTCTGTTACTTGTGTGACCAAAGACCAGTCTCCTCCCACTCTGGGCTTTCACTCTCTTATCTATAGAATGGGGACAATAGCACTTCAGTCGAAGGGTTAATGTGAGTATGTGTGCAAAACCCCTAGAACACAGTAAGTGCTCAATAAATGTTAACCCTTTGCATGTCTCTCTGGTTAGACCTGGCTTCTAATTCTGAGTTGGCCTCTTACTGTTGACCTTGAGTAGGCCCTAACCCAAACCCTAACCCTTGAGCTTCAGTTGCCCCATCTGTAAAGTGGGGAACACCGTCCTTTCCATGTGAGCTAGGAGGATTACACGAGGCAAGGTGTTTATCAGCAGCACAGTCCCTGGTGCATAAAATGTGCACGAAAAATATGTGTGCGCTGCAGCTGCATCTCCCCCTCTGCCTGGATGTGGTGTCACAAGATGAAGTCTCTAATCCAGTTCCATCACCCATGCACGGCCCCTCTGCAGGCAAATCCCTTTCTCTCTCTGGAACTCACCTTCCTGCTCTATGAAATGGGACAATTCAAGAAGCCTTCCCCAACAAGAATCTGAATACAGACAAGAAAGAGTAAGTGATGTGCTCAAAGTTACTCTGCTAGTCCACGGCACAGGTAAGGCTGGAAACTAGGTTTTGTGAATCTCAAGACTCTTTCAACACTTATTTTGATCATCTACTATGTGCTGGTCACTTCTCTGGGCTCCGTGTACTCTTCACTGGTTTGAATCCCTGCCCTTACCCCACCGGGGAGGTTTTCTAACCCTATTTGACAGCTGAGCAAACAGGACCACCCCCAAAGCTCGGCCATCCACATTGCTCCTCCTTGGGGGGTCTCTACGAGAGGGCAAGAGCACTTGGAACCCTTCAGCACTGCCTCCTCCTCGCGCAGCCCCCGCCCCTTTCCCAGACCACGCCCCTCCCCGAGGGAGGCCCCTTACCTGTCGCCTAGGGCGTCTGTCCCGCGGGCCACCCGGGGCTGGTCTCTGGCTGGGCTGCCCCGCCGAGCCTCGCTGCTGCAGAGGCCCCGCTGCCCCCTCCTTCCCCGTCTTCCTCCGTCCCCCGCGGCTGAGGCCACATCGATCGCTGCCGGGGGAGGGAGGGAGCCGCGGGCGGCCGGAGGCGGTGGTTTCTATTCCTGACTTGGTTGGGGTGTGTGAGGGTGTCTGGGGACTGGGCCCTACAGCCAGGACGTCTTCCCAAGCCAGGGGCCGGGGGAGGGGGGCTCATTTAGGGGACGGGTTCCTCCCTAACGGGGTATTTCAGGTAATAACAGCTTCCTAAATTGGTATGTGTTGGTCACTCTGCTTCAGGTGACTTATCCAAGTTGTTGCTGACACAAACTTGACAGGGACAGGGTCTTATGTTCCCCATTTTTACAGATGAGGCCCAGTCACGTGCTCAGGGCACTTAGCTAGGGGTTGTGGACTTCAGTTAAGAACTCACATCCTCTAAGGCTTCCCCAAGGGATGGTCTGAGAGGGGAACAGGAGAAGGTGCCTCACCCTCTCAAGGCCTCAGCTGTTACCCTGCTGGCTGAGAAGCTGGGAACAGACCATTTTGCCCCTTGATATTCAGTCTCCATCTCCTCTCCTGCCCAGAGAGAGGTTCCTTATTTTTTTTGGTACGTGCCCCTGGCGGGAACTGAACCTGGGACTTTCTGGTCCGAAGGCCAGCACTCCGACCCCTGAGCCAAACTGGCCAGGGCTTAGAAGTTCCTGATTCCCACCTTCCGAGTGGCTTGTGAGGGCAAGGGAGAACTCTGCCAAAGAGTGTGTCAAGGTTGTGTAATCTGCAAGCATTTATTGAGCGCTTACTGTGTGCCTGGTTGGGGAGAGGGTGCTGGAGTTTAGACCTGGATACAAGAAAGAATTCCTACTTTACAAATATTAATTGTTGTTAATAATAATGAGCAACATTTATCAAGCACTTACCTTGGGCCAAGTATTCTATAGGTCTCATCTCACTTAAGATGCAAATATATCTGTGGGGTAGGTGCTATTATCATTCCAACCTCACAGCTAAGAAATATAAGGCTTAGAGAGGTGAATTGACTGGCCCAAGGTCATATAGCTGACTTCTGAGTCCTCTAGATAAACTTCTGTGCAATAGATATAATGTGAGCCATACATATAATTTAAAGTTTTCTGATAGCAACATTAAAAAAAAAAAAAAAAAAGAAAGCAGGTGAAATTAGTCTTAATAATATATTTTATTTAACTCAGTATGTCCAAAATATTATAATTTCAACATGGAATTAGTAAAGAAATTATTAACGACGTTTTACATTTTCATTTTTGTACTAAATCTTCAAAATCCAGTGTATTCATTTTTAATTGCTATGTAACAATTACCACAGACTTAGCAACTTAAAACAATACACATTTCTTATCTCACAGTTTCTAAAGGTCAGAAGTCTGTGCAGCACTCATGACTGGATTCTCTACTCGGCCTCACTTAGTTGAAATCAAGGTTTCAACCAGGGCTACGTTTTTCATCTGGGGCTTGGGGTTCTCTTCCAAGCTCACAGATTATTGGCAGAATTTATGTCCTTGTGGTTGTAGGACTGTGGTCCCCCTTTGCCTGCTGGCTGTCTGCTGGGGATCACTCTCAGCTCCTAGAGGAACATGTGGTTCTTTGACATGTGGCCCTTAGGCAGTTCACCTCATGGATGTTTGCCTTCTTCCAGGCACACGAGAGTGCTGACTTCCTCTTTTGTGACCAGCTGCAGAAAATGCTCTGCTTTTAAAGAATTCACCTGCTTACGCCAGGCCCACTCAGGACAATCTCCCTTTGCCATATAACACACATTCACAGGTTGCACCTACACTCAAAGAGGAGGAGATTATACAAGGACAAAGGTCACTGGCAATCATCTTAGAACTCTGCCTACTACATCCACTTACAGCAAATCTCAATTTGGACTAATCACATTTCATGTCTTCAGTAGCCATGTGTGGCTAGTGGCTACCATATTGGACAGTGCAGCTCTAGGCTTTATCACTTCGAGTCTTCCCTCAAAGTTAAAAGAGCAGGGAGATGCTTAGTGCTCATCTTGGCCAAATCTTTCATTTTCCCAAAAAGGAAACTGAGGCAGATCTGCAGAGAAGTAGGTCTCCCATTTCCTGGACTTATACTCTGTCTGCAGCCTTCACTCTCCCCAAAATTCAGGGGGGTTCTCCTTGGAGTTGGAGAAGTTGTTTCCGAAAAGAGAAAAGATAAGTCTGTTTTCTAAGGGCAGAAGAGAGTGGAACCAGGATCTGGTTTTGTCCCCAGATCATGCTGGAGTTTTGGATGAATTCATGTGAGACAGAAGTGGGAAGAGGGGCATATGGGCCTTTGGGGTTAAAGGGGAATCCATACAGTGCCATGGATGGGCTACTCCCCCAATTCTCCTTCAGTCCCTGGACCCAATGGCCATTTGAACCTATGGATTTTTTTACCTAAAGAGTAAGCTTGATGTGGCATAAATACAGAAATTTTGGAATTAAGTAGAAACTGGGTGTGGCATTAAAGCTTCTGGAATATCGCCCAGTGATGTCTGCCTCCCGGTATTCACACCTTTGTGTTATCTCTTCCCTTCCTGGTGCACTTCAGCAAAAGGCTGAGTCTGTCTCATTTGCTAGGAAAACAGTAACTTTCTGGGAAGCCCCTCCCAGCAGACTTCTCCTAACTCCTGATTGGTCAGTTCTCAGTCACATGGCCACCCCTAGCTGCAAGAGAGTCAGGGAAGGAAACAAATTTTTAAAAATTTAACTTACTACAAAAATTGAAGTGTAATGTTCTTTTAGTAAAGTGTACAAATCTTAAGTTACTGCTGAATGAATATTTTGTAAATTTATGCATCCATGTGACTGCCATCCAGGTCAAAATATAGAATGTTACTAGCACCCAGTAAGTAGTTTGGGGGTTGGATAAATATTTCTAACTGGGGATTTTGCCGTTGGTGAGGAAGAGGAGGAGAATGGGTGACTAGCAATGTCATGCTTGGCCAACTCCTACTAAAACTCAAGGTCTTGACTTGGCTATGACCTCCTTCAGAAAGTCTCTGGTCTGCAGGCTGAGTTAGGTTCCTCCTGGTCCCACACATAGTCTCCAGGGTTCCTCCAGTCTGGTGCATATCACGCAACTCTCAAGCTAGAGTTTTGTCTCATCCTGTAGTGCGTGAGCTCTTTGACGGCACAGCCTAGAGCCTATACTAAGTGCTCAGCAAACATGTATTGAATGAGTGAGGGAGGAAAGCAAGATTGGAGATTGAAGACCCAGGCTCCTGGCCCCAGGTGTCCAGCCTCCCAGGAGACTTTCCAGAAGGGCAGTGGACACAGGCAGTAGAGCTAGAGCTGAATGGGCTGGAATTTGTAGCTGGGGACAAAGTTGGCACTGCACAGACTAATGCACAGACCTGATGGAACAGGTAACAAGTTAGCCCGGAAGCTGAGCAGGTAACTCTAGAATGGACCGTGTAGATGCTGCCACCTATGGCCAGAGAAGCATGGCCTATGACCTGCCACCAGGAAACAAGCCCAGAAATCAGGGCCTCAGGACAGCCATGGGGTCCTTAACAGCCAAGTCCTAACTGGGAGCCTCCTCCTGGGGCCCCTTAATTTTCTTCCTGATGCCTTTTAGGAAAGAAACCCAGGGCAATGAACTGTATACAAACAGATTTGGGTTTCAGCTTCCTAGAACTGAGGCTGGTCATATAACCTTCTTAGGTCTTTGTAATCCCCATTTTTCAGATGTGGAAGGAACTTTCTAAGACAGAAGGTAATTAGTGTAGTCAATAAGGTTGTAAGCTTCGGCCTGAGACTCCTTGGGGTTGAATCCCAGTTCTTCTCATTATAAGCTGTACAAACTTAGCCACATTAACTTCTTTGTGCCTCAGTTTCCTCATATGTGAAATGGGCAAAAATCATAAAGCTGACATAGTAAGGCTGTGAAGATTTAATGAGATTTTACACGGAAAGTAATTAAAATGACTCCTGGCACAGGGTAAGTGCACTGTACTTTTAACCATGCTGATTTTGTCAGTATCTCAGGAGGCACGTGGCACGGCTTAATCCTGGCAGCTCACCTCTTAGCTGGGAGTCTTGGCAAGTCACTTATCTCAAAGCCCATTTCTCCATTGTCAAATGGGAATAATAGCGCCCGCCTTTCTCAGGGTTATAGGATGGAGGAACGAAATGATGTTTTAAAACGTGGGCATTTATTAAAGATTAATAATCGTTATCTGCATTAGACAAGCTCCTACTGCAGCAAATTTGTAACAAACAATACCCAAATCTTTCTGGCTTCCCGTCACAAACATTTATTTTCTTCTTGCAAATGTGAGGATTGGCTAGGAGTCTCAGCCTGCCCCAGGTGTCTTTCATCCCGGGACCAGCGGCTTCTGGGCAAGCCCCTCTCATGGCAGAGGGTGGAAGCTGCAGGAAGCCTGGTGCCTCGCCTTGAAACTCACTGTCATCGCGCCCACATCCCATTAGCCAAAACAAGTCCAGGGCTGAACCCCTATTCATTGGGCCATGGATGTATACTCTCCCCCAGCAAAGCCATGATAAGAGTGGGGAGGGGAGGGGGGCCTGTGGGCAAACAATACAATGTTCCCTATTTATGGATGGGAAACTGAGGCCCAGAAAGAGCAAGGGAAGTATCCATGCTCGTAGAGTCTGTGGCTCTCAGATTGTTCTCCTTTCTAGGCCTCAGCTTGAATTCATACAATTAGCATTTGCTGCTTTTGAGTCAGTACCTCAGGCATTTGAGTCCCACAAGAAGGACTGTGGCAGCGAGGAAGTAGAATTCTTTCCATCTTCCAACAGGGCAGACAGAAGGGCGGAATGGTGACCGACCTGTGACCGCAGTGTGACATCCAGGGAACAAGGAAAGAAGACCCAGCATCCCCAACTTCACCTCCACAGCTCACAGTCCCGCCCCAGATTCCATCAGTACAAGAACAGACCAGCAGACAAAGCAGGGAGGAGTCAGCCCAGCTCCATCCTCTCCCCTAGGCAGGCCCTGGGTGAAAGGGATAGTCAGGAGTCCAGCTCTCTGGGGCCAGGAATATCCCTTGGGATGGCTGTCTTCCCTCATTGACTTCCCCCCTCCTTACTGGGCCCTGCCTCATGAAAGGAGGTGAATGAGGGATTGTCCAATGGTGGAGACAGACCCTCCCCAAAGTAATGATATCCCAACTGCTCAAGCAACATTTCCCCAAGTGTGGAGCAATTTGAAATGACCTTAGGGTGTAGGGGGATGCGACATTATCTAACACTGATGCTCCGAGTGAAAGTCTCAGGTTGGAGACCTGTGTCTTTAATCCTTTAACCCTTGTTAATCTTCATGTATTGCAGCAGAGAGCCGGCTTCAGGCTCACCATCTTGGCAGATGGCAGTATCTAGCTAGAATTTAATAACATTTAATATTGTTTAATTGGACATGATTTTAGTGAGACTTAGCTGTTTTCATTGCATTTGCTCTTATTTATTTATTTATTTTTTATTTTCTTTATTGGTATTAGACAGAGAGAGGGAGAGGGAGAGAGAGATAGAAACATCAATGAGAGAGAACATTGATGAGCGAGAACATCAATTGGCCGCCTCCTGCATGCCCCCCACTGGGGATCTGGCCCACAGCCTGGGCATGGGCCCTGACCAGGAATCAAACTGGCGACCTCTTAGTGCACGGGTCGAGACTCAACCAGTGAGCCACACTGGCTGAGCGCATTTGCTTTTATAATCACATTCTGTTTGTTGTTTTTTTAAATCCTCCCCCGAGGATATTTTTCTATTTATCTTTAAACAGAGTGGGAGGGAGAGAGGGAGAGAGAGGGAGAGAGAGAGAAACATCGATGTGAGAGGGACATATTGACTGGTGGCCTCCGCACGACCCTGATCAGGGCCAGTGACCGAACTGCAGCTGAGGTACGTGCCCTTGACCAGAATCGAACCCACAGCTCATTGGTCCACAGGCCAACGCTCTAACCACTGAACAAACTGTCCAGGGCTATAATCACATTCTATTTGTGGCAAGTGATCCTGCTTACCCTGTTTATAGAAGTGACATCAAGCTTTTCTTTTGAAATGATTTATATACAAAAGTGAGTCCACTTAAGGGAAAGCATTAGGTAGACGGGGGGACGGCAGTACATAGAGTAGCACGATGCTGTTTTGCAGGTCTGGTGAACATTGAGAAACGGATGTGAACAGACATGCTTGGGAAACGGCTGGAACATACATTCAGGTGGCTGGGGAGAGGCCAGGACCCCGAAAAGGGAGGCCTACCTGAACCGGGCGTTTCAGGTGGAGGAAACACGCGGACAAGCAGATGTGAAGGCGGTGTGAGGAGCATGAGGAGCTCAGTGTGCCGGCGGTGCCCAGAGGCGTCCCTGAGGTCCGGCCTTGGACCCTGATTCCAAGGAGGAAGACCCCGGGGTGGACGGGCTGCAGGGCACGTCAATGGATCAGTGTCGATCAGAAGTTTGGAACTGCCGCTGACAGGGACAGTGCTGAGTGGCCAGTGCCAGGCCCCTCCGTCATCATCTCTTCCTGCTGGGAACCCCATCCTGAGGGTCAGAGCCGAGGATCCTCAACCAGAATTAGTCTGAGGAGAGAGCAGGAAAGGGTTAACCCTTCCCATAATAGGGCTCTGAGTTCTGGGCTTGATCACCAGTCCAGCCCCCCGCAGCCCAGCCCTGGTGGCCCCTGAGACAGAACTCCCCCCCCCCACCCCCACCCCCCGCCTTCCACAAGAGCAGGCTGTTTAGGGTTATGGTCCAGGGGACATCCCAGTTCCTCCATCATCCCGACAGGCCCCTCACCTCCCCCGTCCACTTCCCCAGGAATGGCCACAGGGAGGCCGGGGCTTCTGGGAAGGTGCCCTATGAGGCTCGGTGAGCTGGACCGAGCCTCAGAGCTGGCGCTGGGGGGTGGGGGGGGGGCGCCCAGCACACAGGAGCCACACCTCTGACAGGGTTCCGGCAGTCCCGGCCACAGGCGCTGAGGCAGCATCGGCTTGGGCCCTGGCAGTCCGAGTCCTGGTGGCACAGGTGCTGAATTGGGCTGAGGCAGTGCAGTCGGTCCTCAGGGCAGGTGCCCTGCTTCACTGCAAACAGGGACCTGGGTGAGCCCTGCCTGAGCCTTGGCCCTGGGGCTTGGGGCTCAGGGTTTGGGCGGTCGGCGAGGTGGAGAGGGACACTTACCTGCGACCTTACGGACACACTGGCGGAAGCAGCTTCTGCGGCAGCACTTCATCCTTGTGGGGCACTGGCTGTCATCTACGCATTGGTCAGGCACCGGTAGGAGACAGGGCCCATCGTCCGGTGGACACCCCCCGTTCTTCTCTGGAAGAGAACCCCCCAAGTATCGCAGCCGGGGGCAGATCAGAGTTCTGGAATAGGGCTGACCTGGGGAATTCTCCTCCCCTTAGTTCTTGCCTGTCCTTTGGCAAATTATTATTTGTATTTTTTGGATGGACGTGCTTCCTTTTTATTTTTTATTTAGTTCTTTGATTGAGGTATAACCAACACGTAACATTATGTTAGTTTCAGGCGGACAACATAATGATTCCGTATTTGTATATATTGCAAAATGATCACTATCAGTCTGCATCCGCCACCACACATTATTAAAAAATGTTTGTCTTGTGACGAAAACTTTTAAGATCTACTCTCTTAACAGCTTTCAAACATGCAGTGCAGTGTTATTAACTATAGATGCCATGCTGTACATTATATCCTCATGACTTACTTATGTTATAACTGGATGTTTGTACCTTTTGACCTCCCTTCACCACCACCCCCCACCACCACCCCGCTTCTGGCAACCACCAGTCTGTTCTCTGCATCTATGAGCTTGGATTTCTTAGTTTTTTTTTGTTTTGTTTCTCAGATTCCACATATAAGTGAGATCATACGGTATTTGTCTTTCTATCTGACTTATTTCACTTAGCATAACGCCCTCAAGGTCCGTCTGCATTGCAAATGGCTGGCAAGTATGTTTCTTTCTACTCCAAGCCTCAGTTTTCTGTCTGTGAAATGGGAAGCTGGACTTCCTCCTCCTGGACAGGCTTGAGCCTCAGGTGACATAAAGACTAGGAAAAAGTGAAGTTCCAAATCTCCACCTGCACTGACAAGGCCGCGCCTGGCCCGGCCCCTGCCCGGCTCTCTGGCCGCCGCCTCTCCTTGTCGCAGCTCCTGACCCTCTCCCATACTCTCCTCTTTGCCGGGGATCCCTCTTGCACCCCATTCGTCAGCTCTCTGCTGAAACACCACATCTCTGACCCTAGATGAACTAAGTCAACACCACCGTGCCCCACGCGCTCCCAAAGGATCTTCCCTTCAGTTGGTCACTCTGACTGTATTTGTCTGCCTCTCTCCCTCGGCCGCAGCTATGACAGGAGACTCCCCACCCCGCCACCCCGCCACCCCGCCACCCCGCCACCCTGCTACCCCGCTTTGCTCACCGTTAGGCTGAAGCACAGCCCTTGACACAAAACACTAGGGGCTCAGTGACTATATGCAAGAAAAGGTTTTGAAGGGCCTTCCAACATCACAGGTGTGTCGGCTGTTGGCAGCCCTGGTACATTGTCACACAGTCACCCTCGGCCACATCTGCACTGTGCTCGGCACTGCTGCGCGTGGCATTGTTTCGGGGATCTGTATTAACTTGGCCTTTCAGGAGGTCCTTTGAACAGTCTAGAATGTTCTGTCCTGGAGCTCACCTAGCCACTCTTCTTGTTAGCATTTTGGGCCATTACCAGATTTCATGCAAAAGGCTCGGACCAGTATCTTCCTTCATTTAGGGGGAGGAGTCGAGGCCTGAAAGGGCAGGACTGCCCAGACCCACCGGACTCGGGTCCTCGCCTCCCAGGCAGGGCTCCCTCCGACCTGCCCCGCTCTGCTCTGGCCGCCAGCGGGTCCTGGGGACAGGGACTGGTCCCCCGCCTTCACTTCAGTGCAGCATCTCAGCATCTGAGAAAGGGTCAAGACCCACTAGAGGCAGCTAGATCCAGTGCTGTGACTTCACCTTTGTCTACCCCCCCCCCCCCAGCCCCTACCGGCGCTGGCTGCACACACAGTAGGCACCTTGCTACACAGCGCTCAAAGTCAACTTCGGGTGTGTGATTGGGTGGCTTCAACGGAATTGCTGCCCCCTGCTGGAGAAAGAGCAGCTTGGCCTTTTGGGGAGCCCCCTACCCTGGGTAGCCTCTCCTTCCCAGGCTGGGGCTGGGAGGGGCCTTGGGAGACTCTCTGAGGTCCAGCCCTGGCCAGAGGGGCTCAGGCTGCAGGGAGCCGGGCCAGAGGGAGCTGCCTGAACTCAAAGCGGGAGCTCCCTGTGGGCTGGGGTGGAGTCGGTCAGGTTGGAGGGCCAGGGAGAGCTTCTGGGGGGAGGGCCAGGACCTAAGCCTTGAGGAAAGACAGACAGGAAGGGAGGATGAGAACTGGCATCTCAAGCAGGGAGAACTGTGGCAGCAACAGTGTGGGGCGAGAATAAGGGCCCGGAAGGTCCAGGAACAGTGTGAGAGGGTCTGGGGTTCCACTCAAGGCTTCATCTGTCTGTCCTCATCCTCCCTCCCAACCCAGGTTCCCCACCACAGACGTGTACACACAGACACGGCCAGGTACACACACTGACAGCCAGACAGTACATGTGTCTTCTGGATATGCCAACTCAGAAAATGAGTCTTACCTGGTCACAGTTAAATATGCCTGTTCATGCACACAGACATGTACACGTACATAGTCAAATATGCAAACACTTAGATATATGCATGCAATTAGCTTAACCATACGAAATGTGGATATTCAACTCTTTCGATCTACAAAAATAGTAATTTTATATGGTCTGACCTATTTGTATATATGTATGTATATGTCATATATAGTTATACATACAAGGTAGTTATATATATATGTATAAACACATTCACATGAATAGATATATGTCCATCTGAACAAATATACAGACATACTGCCATATATATTACATGCCTATCCACATAAATACAGGGTGAACGGAAGCAGGTTTACAGTTGTCCTATGGAAAATAATACAATAATTAATAGACAATAATACAAGAATAAACTCTGCTTCATGTACTCACAACTGTAGACCTACTTTTGCCCATCCTGTACTTATACACAGAAATTACACATGCACTCAGTCACAGAGTCATGTATATGTAAACGTATAGCACACGCATGGTTATGAGTAAAGATGTGAACGTGCACACACAGTCATGTACACAACCAGATGCACAGAGCTGCACAGACACAGTCTCTTCCCAGTACAATACAACCACTGGAAACACTTGTTAGACACTCTGTCAGGGACTGTGTCTCTCCATGTCAGAGACACCGGCTCACCTGAATGTGTGCGTGGAGGGAATCTTATGAACACGGGACTGTGCTTCCACAGAAAGAAAGCGAGACGCCCCTTCCCTGCCGGGCAGAGAGCTCATGGGGAGAGTCAGGGAAGGGCGGGGAGGTGATGAACTGGGGAGAGACAGGCAGGAGGCCTCATTTTACAAGGAGCAGGTTTGGGAGGTGAGTCTTCCTGATTGCAAAGACCTGTCCTCAGCTGCCAACTTGGACACTGACTCAGAGGCAGTCTTTGGCCTTGAGCAAGTGGTTTCCCACTGAGCCTCGGTGTCCTCATCTGCAAAATGGGGATACAAATAGCTGTGACCTCACAGCCTTGCAGCGAGGAGGAATGCGGTGATGGTGCATGAATCACAGCCAGAACGAAGCCTGGCCTTGGAGCTTGCCCTCATCCTTCCGTCCTCAGCCTGGGGATTCTGAGCACTCTCCTCCCCAAACCAGCTCTCCCCAGGGAGGGCCCTGCCTCTGAGGAAGGCATAGCCAGGCTAGAGGGGGCACGGAGGGTGCAGGGAACTCCCAGAGCCCTGTAGAGTTGGGGGCCTGTCCCCGTTCCTGTCCCCTCCCCGAGGCCAGGCCAGGCTGGCCAGGAGTATGTAGGTCAGAGTGTTCCAGCCCCGGAAGGGGGGGAAAGCTGACACCTCACCCAGGTGGGGAGGCACCTGTCTAACCACTGGGACAGCCTGGCCTCCCTTATCTGGTGACAAGTCAGTCCCCGCCTTTTGTGGGGAGGTGGGGAGAAGAGAAGAAGGACTAGAGCTTCCTCCCAACAGATCCCAGATCCTAAAAACCACACCCCTACTCAATTCTGGAGTCCCTGTCACAGATTGGGCTGGGGGACAGAGAGGGCCTGAAAAAGACAGAAAAAAGATGGGTGGGGACCAGACCAGGCACAGCCTGTTTTGGCCACAGGGGATGACAGGAAGGGTCATCTCCTGCCATGTGGACCCACAGATCCACATACCTCCGTGGAGACCACCAGCGCAGAGAGGGTATGGACAGCGTGTCCTCCGCCCACAGAGGCACAGAGCTACACATGCGCAGAGACAGGCACGCGTGCACCCAGAATCCCACACAGCTGTGCATTCAGAAACAGACGTGGGCACAAAGAAGCACAAACAAAACGTGAGCACTGAGAAGCAGACATCCGAGGCTCACACACAGACACGCACCGAGCTACCTACCTCCCCCAAACACTTATGCTCCCCAGAGAGTTAGAAACCACGGTACCCGGAGCAGAGGCACCTACCCACACTCACCTTTCTTCCTCCTGCCAGAGGCAGCAGGCAGCTGGCTCTCCAAAGCCAGGAGGGCCACCAGGAGGAGGAGGCTCCAGGCCCTCATGTTTCTGCTGCAGCACTTAAGATCAGGGCCCAGGGCCCCTAAATTATCACCTGCAGCCCCAGGGAGGCTACAGCAGCTGAGTAAGGGAAGGCGAAGAGGGGGTGGATGGAGCGGCAGCAGGTGTCTGTCTCATCCTGGCTCCACCCCCTGCCCAAGAGCCTCAGTGCAGGGTGCTTGTGCAAGAACTGATGATGGGTGGAGGCAGGACCTGGGTGTTGGGGGCTATGATCCAGTCCTGCCTGTATTGCTACTTGGGCTGTGATTTGGGCAAGTCTTGTCCCTCCTTGGGCCTCAGTTTTCCTCATCCGTATAATGGGCGAAGGTTGTTGAGTCAGAGACTCCCTTTCCTGGCTCTCAGATCTTGAAGCCCCAGCAATGGCTTAGGCGGGGGATAGACGTCGGCTTTGAATGGCAAGGATTTTCAGAGTTCTGGGTGCCAGGAAGCATGAGGGCTAGGGGCAGAGCTCCCTGCTGGAGAAGGCTGGCCCCAGCTGGCACGGTGAGTGAGGCCAGCCCTGGCCACTCCTCTTGGGCTTCCATGGAAGGTAGAGAGAGCGAGCTCCGGGCCTTTGATGAATCACCTCCAATGGCAGCTGGTACAACTGTCCTGTGTCTGGGTCTGGCTCAGCTGTCGGGGGTAGAGGAAGCACAGGTTTGGGTTTGGTTGAGGTCAATGGTCACAACAGATCTAGGTGGCTTCGAGGACACTTACCCTAGCACAAATAGATCCTGAGGGAAAAGAAAATCATCTCAGCCAACAACCCTACCTTAGATTTCACATCATTTGGTGGAAAAAAGACGACTGGGGCTCGGGGCTCTGAGGGGCCCCAGACAGAAGCCCCACTGAGCCACAGTATCCTTCCAGGACTGGGGGCGATCGAGACCACCCTCCCCACTCTCCTATTTGAAAGATGAGGAAACTGGGCCAAGGACACACACTTAATTTCTAACTGAGCCGAGACTACCGGCATTGCCTTCCCCCAGCTCCCAACCAGTTCCTGGGCCTCGGAAGCCAGGCAGCACCTCACCTGACCCTGAGAAAGAAGCAGCTATTCCAGTCCAGGACAGCCCTCACCGGAAGCTCCTCCTGGGGTTTAACTCAGAATGCTGTCTCCTGAGCTCTCAGGAACCACGCCTCACATTCTGTGATCTGACGTTGCTTTTGGAATTCTAGCATCCCCTTGGCTTCTTTAGAAGGAGAATTTTGTGCAGCTATCCCCCCCCACACACCCCGATTTCAAACTACATGTGTATATTAAATAAATACTTTTTCAATTGAGATTATTTTCTAGACATTTTCCTGGGTGAAGAAGTGCCCTCCGCTATCATCATTTCTTTTTAATTTTTTTTAAATTGATTTTTAGAAAAAGAGAAAGGTAGAGGGAGGGAGAGATGGAAACATCGATGAGAGAGAACATCGATTAGCCGCCTCCTGCATGCCCCCCACTGGGGATCGAGCCCACAACCTGGGCATGTGCCCTGACCGGGAGTCAAACCTGCGACCTCTTGGTGCATGGGTTGACGCTCAACCCCTGAGCCACACCAGCTGGGCCACTATCATCATTTCTAATAGTAACATGGTCTTTTGAAAGACTGATAGACCAAAACATATGTAATCGGCTCCCTTTCGTGGAACATATAGGTTTCCTTTTTTTTCACTCTCATAAGTAAAGCAGTGACAACAATCTGTGTACCTACATTTTGAGTCACATGTGACTATTTTCTTGGGGTAAATTTGTCAAGTTAGAAATTTGAGGTCAGTCAAACTTCCAGTTACAAAGTAAGTCAGTCCTGGGGACATAGGGTACAGCATGGTCACTATAGTTAATAATAGAGCATTGCGCCCTGGCCAGTTTGGCTCAGCGGTTAGAGCGTCGGCCTGCGGTCCTGAGAGACTCGGGTTCGGTTCCCGCTAAGGGCATGTACTTCGGTTGCAGTTTGTCCTAGCCCTGGTTGGTCGTGCGGGTGGCAGCCACTCTGTGTCCCTTCACGTCGATGTTTCTCTCTCTCTCTCCCTTACTCTCTCTCCCTCCCACTCTATCTGTACAAAAAATGGAAAAATATCCTCGGGTGAGGATAAAATAAATAAATAAATAAATAAATAAAATAAAAAAAAAATAAAAAAATAATAGAGCATTGCATTTTTGAAAGTTGCTAAGAGAGTAGATCTTAAAACTTCTCATCACAGAAAAATTATAACTATGTGTGGTGGCGGAAGTTAACGAGACTTAATTGTGGCGGACATTTTGCAATATATACATATATTGAATCATTGTGTTGTACACCAGAAACTAATATAATGTTATATGTCAATTATACCTCAATAAAAATTTTTTTAAAAAGAACCAGAAACAAGCAAAGAAAAAGAAATACTACATCAAAAGGCAGGGCAATTTTTCAGGCTTTGAATATCTAAAATTGCATTTCAGAAAAGAAGTAAATGAAAAAGTACGGTGATTACCAGAGGGAAAGGGTGAGGGGAGGTAGGAGAGGGTAGATCCGGGAGGAGTGGTGATGGAAGGAGACTAGACTTGGGGTGATGAACACTCAATACAATATACAGACGATGTAGTATAGAATTGTACACCTGGAACTTAAATATTTTTACTAACAATGTCACCCCAATACATTTTTGAAAAGGAAGTAAATTTGTGTGTGGGAGCCTCCACCAGCTCTGCGGGAGACGCCTCTTGTTTTTGTCGCATCCCTTCCTTGGGTGGAGTCATCGGCCCCACCTCCTGTAATTCTGATTGGCTGTCAATCACCAGGTACGTGCCCTGTCACAGTGGAGGCCATTTGACCCAGGTTAGAACCACTGAACTCTTCCATGCCCTCTAACCTGTCCACGCTTTCATTACAAACCTGAACGGAGAAGGCAGTGGTCTAGGGAACAGTCTGAAATCCAGTTCCGCTGCTCGCAACCAGCGGCCCCCAAGATACACTGACCAAATGCAGGGTATTAAACAAGAAGTGGGCAGCGGGGCCGAGCGGGCCGGTGGGCACCTGGTGCTGGCGGACAAGCAGCAGGTAGAAGGTGGACCTGGACGCAGGGAGGACTGAGAACGCAGAGGGCCCGAGGGCCCTGCAAGAAGGACCTCAGTCTCTCTGAAGATGTGCTGCTTTGCTTCGGGAACATGGTTATCAACATGCTTACCCTCAGACGAGAAACAATTGAGAAAGATCAGGATCCTCTGGATAAAGAAATAGAGAAACTCACCTGGCCGGTGTGGCTCAGCAACTGAACATCGACCCATGCACCAAGAGGTCGCCAGTTCGATTCCCGGTCAGGGCACATGCCCAGGATGTGGGCCCAGTCCCCAGTGGGGGGCATGCAGGAGGCGGCCAATCGATGTTCTCCCTCATTGATGTTTCTATCTATCTCTCTCCCTCTCCCTTCCTTTCTCTCTAAAATCAATAAGAGGGGGCGGGGTGGGGAGGGGAGAAAGAAAGAGAGAAACTCTTGGAAGCCCTAGGCAAACCTGACCTCCTCTACTGGGATGAGTTTAAATCTCAAGGTCACCTTGAAAGGGTGAACTTCAAGAAACCAGATGGGGGACCTAAGCCAGCATGCCCTCTGGGGGCATGGAGGACCCAGAACTCTCCAACCTTGAAGCCTGCAGGACAGGATCTACCCCGCCAGGGGACAGGCATTAGGAACCCGTCATGGCTCCTGCATGCAGCCTCTGATTGCTCCCTGACAGCAGAAGGGGACCCTCAGCCCGCCAGTGTCTTCAGAGCCTGACCACTGTGCTGAATGGACACAAGACCCTTGACAGGCCTGGCAGCCACCAGTGCGTGGGCAGGAGCAGCACTCAGGGAGTACGAGAAAGGCCGCAGCAGACCCTTCTCAGCCCTGGCCTGCTGTCTAATGGGCCCTGGGCAGAGAAGAAGGGGAGGGAAGCGTGGGAGCTTCATTCCAGCATCCCTCTCTAAAAGGGAGACAGAACTGGACTAAAACAGGAGGCTCCCAGGTGGTTTCTGAGCGAAGGACAGCATCTGGGTGCTCCTCCACCATCCGGGGAGCAGACATACCATCCTCCCCACTGGCTGCATTTGGCCCGTTTTTAGCGCTTGCTCCCAGACAGCGCCCAGAGTGGGTGCTGCTTGTCAACCCCCCACAGCTGCCCTTCAGTGAGGAAGGCCTTGCAGACTCCTGCACCGAGATGGGCGAGGGAACCCAACGGCCTCTTACCTGCTTCACGCATTCAGATGCCCCTCCACCACCTCTGGAAGCAGGGCCAGGCAACACGGTGTCTTTCCTGTTCATTGAGGGCTCGATAAGTGTTACAAAGAAGTAAATAAAACTTTTGTCAGTGGAAAACAATCTCATTTTAATTTGCCTGTCTCTGAATATTGCTGAGGGAGAGCACTTCTTCATATGCTTATATGGACCAATTCTATTTCTTCTTTTGTGAATTGCCTGGTTTTATACTTTGCTCATTTTTATTGGGTGCCTTTATTTTTATTATTGAATTTCAAGAGCTGTTTATATATGAAGGATACTAATACTTGTCATGCACAAGAAGCAGTATGGTGAAGTGGTTAGCAGATATATGCTGGAGTCAGGCAGACCTGGTTTTGAATACACATGCCACCAGGTTCAAGCTCTGTGACTTTGAACAGTCGCTTAATTTTTCTAAACCTGTTTGCTCTTCTATAAAATAGAAATAATAATAAATATATATATATTTTTTATAAGGTGATTTTGAGAATTGAATGAGATGAGCTTGATAAATGTTTATTTTAATTCTATCCTATTTGTTTTCCTGTTTTTACTTTGTACCAAAGTTTTCAATTTGGGGTTAGTTAGATCAGTTTTTCATTTGGATTTTCTCCCTTTCTTTTGTTGTGTTTTAATTTTTTTTCTTTATTGATTTTAGAGAGAGAGGAAGAGAGGAGAGAGAGATAGAAACATCAATGAGAGAGAACATCGACTGGCTACCTCCTGCATGTCCCCCACTGGGGATCAGGCCCACAACCTGGGCGTGTGCCCTGACCGG